AGTTTTAGTTAATTATAAGATAATTAATATCTGGGACGACGAGGGATCTCGCAGGGACATCGTGGGATGCGTGCGTCTTAGTTTTAAGTTGCGTGCGTTTAGATTTAGTAATTATAAGTTAGTATTTGTGAATTCACTGTGAACGCATTCTGTACAAAGACACGTTTATTTCACTTGAGACGAAATTATGGAAACCTCCTCGATTCTCTTTTTTCGTTCGTTGTCACTGTGATTGTTACTATCATTGCACTAGAGTAGAGTTACATTTGTTACTGTCATTGCAAGAGAGTATAGTTACTTTTGTTACTGTCATTGCACTGGAGTAGAGTTACTTTTGTCACTGCCATTATACTACAGTAGAGTTACATTTGTCATTGCACTAGAGTAGAGTTTCCACCTTTCGCTGTCAGTGTGTTCAAATCGGTGGACTGCAGCCTTGTCCGAAAGGACGAGGTTGGTTCTTGTAGTCTAGCGTCCTTTATAATACGGCTTCAGTGGTTCATCGGAACCCCACTGCTGTTGGGAGTAGCGCTAGACTACTTTTCTCTCGAAATGCTCGAACTTCGATTTGGCACACTGACAAACTGCGGTTTCATTCTTCGTTATATCCCTTGCAGAGCACGATATTAAAGCGTTTCGTTTCTTTATCCTTATTTCATTTAAAGTTCAATAAACGTGGCTTTGATACAAATTGCGCTGGTAGGGCTGAGAATTATTGTACAGTTATTCTGTAACATTAAAGTTAGTCATATATGTCTTTAGTATGAGAAGCTGCGAGTGATTGCGAAATATTTTATGACTTTCCCTCGTATGTATTGTATGATTATATGAATTGTATGTTTGTATGTATTGTATGTATCGTACGATTTTATGTACTGAATGTATTATATGATTGTATATATTTTACGATTGCATACGTTGTATTGCCTGTATTGTATGATTGTATGAATGTGCGAGAGATAAACTCATTATTAGTGCGTTCAACATTATAATGTTGGGAGACAGAGTTCCGTAGTTCTCATACTTGCGTTTTAGAGTTAAGATTTGTATTTGAGCTTGAGATTGAACTATGAAACTGTCTCCTTTTTACGTAACTCCAGGCCAAGTAGAATAGAAACTCAATATTCATTGAGTTGAATGCCGAGTTGCTTGGTTGGGAATAGGGCCCGTGGCGAGTCTCGTAAGTAGTCACCTTCTCTGGTGAGATCTGGTAATTAATATCGTTTTATTAACATTAAAGTTTGTAAAAAATATAATATATATTTCAATTGCTAATAACAGTTTATTAGATTATTAAATGATCTATGATGCATCTACAACACATGTGAAAAGTTTCTACTGGGTGAGTATGGGTAAGTGTTCGTATGTTAACTTAGTTATAAGTGAATTATTACCAAATCATTTCTAACACTTGTGGATCATTCATGGATACTGGGTAAGTATAGGTAAGTATACTTTCAATCGGATATTCGAAAACTTTGAAATTTCACTTTGTTTGCAAACATAGGTCTGTTTATTTTGGTTCCCAAAGTTTATTTACATTTTTTTGATTGTTTATTTTGGTTTCCAATATTTATTTACATTTTTTGATTGTTTATTTTGGTTTCCAAAGTTTATTTACATTTTTTTGATGTCAACACATTTTGTTTTCAAAAATTTTCGAAAATTTTCAGTCGGAATCTCGAAAAATTTGAAATTTCGCTTTGTTTGCATACATAGGTCTGTTTATTTTGGTTCCCAAAGTTTATTTATATTTTTTTGATTGTTTATTTTGGTTCCCAAAGTTTATTTACATTTTTTTGATTGTTTATTTTGGTTTCCAATGTTTATTTACATTTTTTTGATGTCAACACACTTTGTTTTTAAAAATTTTCGAAAATTTTCAATCGGAATCTCGAAAACTTTGAAATTTCGCTTTGTTTGCAGACATAGGTCTGTTTATTTTGGTTTTCAATGTTTAATTATATTTTTTTGATTGCTTATTTTGGTCTCCAATGCTTATTTACTTTTTTTTGATGTCAACAGACTTTGTTTTCAAAAATTTTCGAAAATTTCAATCGGAATCTCGAAAACTTTGAAATTTCGCTTCGTTTGCAAACATAGGTCTGTTTATTTTGGTTCCCAAACTTTATTTACATTTTTTGATTGTTTATTTTGGTTTCCAATGTTTATTTATTTTTTTTTGATCGGTTATTTTGGTTTCCAATGTTTATTTACATTTTTTTGATGTCAACACACTTTGTTTTCAAAAATTTTCGAAAATTTTCAATC